CATAACAAAGAATGCAAGAAACCGATATTTCTCCATTACAAATCACAGAAAAGGAAACCCAGAAAGGGAACCATAATAGGAGAATTAAAGAGAACAAATCGAAATTGCTCCACACCGAATGTCATTCAAACAGCACAAAATGACTTTAAAACACTGCTATTATGAAAGGATACCCCGAATACAACATCGACAGTGTTTTCAAATAAAAAATAAAAAAAACATTAAAACCAAAAAAGACTTACACAAAAACACCAACAATGAACATTCCTTTCATAAACGATACAATCACAAACAAGATTCGTAAAACCATAAAGGAATCCCAACTGACAATCAACGTAACACAAAAACAGGTAAACACTGAAAGAAGTATTTGTTCACTCTTCATTCTCACAAACAAAATGTACCAAAAAACGTCGTCTACCAAATCATTTGTAATATATGTGAAGACACATATAGAGGAGAAACTGGAAGACCTTTCCACACACACACATCTTAGAACACATCAATGCACTACATACACATGACCAACACAAAACCACTCCAGCAGAACATTTCATACACAAACACGGAAAACCAGAACCCATTTAAATTTTGTATTTTACAAAAAACAAAGATTTTAAATATAGAAAATATGTGAAAGCTATACTCATTGACGAGAAAAATCCAAAGATGAACAGAGACAATGTATGGTACATGTAACCAAAACACCATTCACAGAACAACAAATTGTATCAATATATTTTACACTTATTACTTCCAGTTTAAGACTTGCTTACTCTGGAGTACCACACAGTCTTACAATTAGTTTTTAACACTGCTGGTAAATTTTCGAATCATTTCCACTTCATATTGTTTCTTAGCAACTTCTATTTTCTGTCTGTGTGTTTTCAGTTAATCATAAAACATATTTCGGTTCTCTTTATTTTTATATTTTATTTTAGTAATATATGTCTTATGTTAGTATAGCTACGTAATATAGGTATACTATATCAGAACAATAATGAAACAACAATGATATTTTATACATTGCTGGAGACACGTGCCATAAACTTGACAGACGGAACATCACAATCAATTTTATAAATTAAAGTATACTTCAATATCAAACAGTTTGTATATATTAACCCTGAAGAAGCTGTAAAAGCGAAACATTGGTAGTTATAAAAAAACAAATATATTTACATCTGGAGTGTAAAGGTCATTTATCTAAACTTTTATCACAGTTTTAATATGGTTATTCTGAAGAAATCAATTAGGTCTACAACTATCACTACCACAATCTCAATTACAAAATTTTGATTATAACTATGTTACTGGGTGGCAAATTCCACTGTTTAATTACAGAATTCCAATAATCAATGGTTTATATATTTAATCCCATAGTTGCCATTAAGCCTTTTCTTGTAACATCTAAATAAGCTTTTTTTGAATATATTACGTTATTAAAGTACATGCAAGAAAAGAAACAAAAACTAAGAGTCATCTGAAGTGTCAGAAAATCAGGGTAAATGCAGTTTATATTGTAAAAATCTGTTTAATGCATACTAGAACTCGTAAAAAAAAATTTCACCACAAGAGAACACCTTACCAAGACCATGTCCATATTTTTTCAAAGATACTCCCAGAAGATGAAATATGACATCTTTAGTGGTTTTGCAACGAGTAATAAGAGGATTTTCAAGAAGCTTGTAGCAGCAGCCAGTCACTAAACTTTGAAACAAAACGAGTATTGTTTATCATCCAAATTCAATACAAAAAGTCATAATTATTATAGATTTTCTTCAAAGAATCTGTTCTCATAACCTACAACTTTCTCATAAAACAATTATCCCTTTTTCCCTTACAAAATACATCATTCTCTCGTTTTGCAGTTTTCCTGACAACACAAGAACAAGATCTAAGTTACTTTTTTCATATTACAGATATTATATTAATACTAGTTGTTCCAAACAATATACAGTGCTTATCAAATACTCTCTGTATATTTAATAAAATAATTATGATACAATTTTATTTCTCAACAACAATAGTGAATATCCCACCACATTCTTCCCTGGCAAATATTATTATGTAACAACCTTATAATTTTAAAATTTCATATTCAATATCTGAACTCAAAACCAGGTAAAAAAAAACTAAATACTGACCAGTATGGTATTCTCAGGTGCACTAACAACCTCTGATATAAGAACACAATTAAAAACTAAAAATAAGTTTAGAAAAAAGCATGTATGAAAAGCCAAAAATTGCAGAAACACTCACCATGCTAAAGTACACAGGAAACATTAAATATGTTTTGTATAAATACTGCAGTTAAGTATGTTTGAAAACAACAGTAACATTCTCAGGACTAAAAAGTAACAAGAACCTTGTCACTTAGGTGTTATACAATTGCACAATAGTTTAAACAACAGAGATGCACACAAAAACAAAAAAACTTGCCTTCAAAACATATTTCATTAAATTTATTCAATTTTATTGTTATGAAGTTGACCTTAAAACTAGGGTTATTAAAATTCCAAAGTGGTCAGTTGCTGCAATAAACTTTTCATATGAACAGCATTTTTAATTGTTTTATCCATTTTCTTCAGTGTCTAGTATCATCACATATATCTCAAATTACCTCAACACATACTCAAAACACACATATACACAAGTTTTCAGAAGATGCATACATTTGGGAAGAGATGGGACTTTTTACCATAAGTGATCGATAATAGTGCATTAAATAACAAAGCATCATTTTCAGGTTTACAACAGGAATGTTTCTCTGTTACTTGTTCTAGCATTAATCTCACACAATCTCACCATGTATGTTATTTTCTGAAATTGTCACAAGCTCAACAGTCTACAAAAAATGTCCAATAATTTATTAGCCTGTTCCCTAAAACTACTGAAATAGTATGTGAAAAATCTACTGAATTTTCTCAAGTAACACATCATACTTAACAAATTCCTCCTCCACAACAGGAGGATCCCACAGTCTCTGAAGAGGAAGCTCATAAAGGTGGAAGAGAGTTTGGAGGCATTTTTCTTTTTCAACTTCCCAGTCCCAACCTTGGTTAGTTTTCTTTTTCATGTGCTTTCTCTGTCAGAAGAAAAATTCAGAGAAATCATAATGTATATATTTGACATTCTAACTAGAATATAAAAAAAAAAGATGCATTAAGGCTGTAGGAAGCAGTAAGGCCAGTCAGGCCACAGACTGACCACTTTTTCATGGCTTCCACTTATGTATTAAAACTCACTTCTTTTAATTCAATACATTATGTTGCGTGTATGCAGTATTTGTAGATAAAACGGCTCAAGGTTCAATATCATAGCATTAAATTTTCAAATATGTTTTTTTGGGGGGATGTCCCTAGACCACCTCTAGAAATGACCTGTGGCAATGGCCTGACCACTTCAAGATTGCTTCCTACAGTGATGTCATTGCAGAAATAAAGTGCAGGTACAAACAGCTATAGCTTGAACTTTGTAATACATAATTTTTTAATACCTGTAACATTTCTCACAATGCAAAAATGAATGAAAATTATTTCATAATATATGTAAGGTACAACTGTAACAGATTTTAAAATAATCTGCTATGAAAGTGTAATAAAGTTAATTTAACAAAATCAACTAATCTAAAGATTCAGAAGTATTTGGTGCTTATTAATTACTACACAAATATCAAATTTGAAGGAGAGGGGAATTTTCAGAAGGGGAAGTCAAGTGTTGTTAAATACCAAATAAGTAGGTTTTTATGCCTTTCAAAAGTCTATCTATTCTTTTTAATTATTAAAAAAGCCAACATTACCTAAGGCTTTCTCTTTGCATAGCTTTGTGGCAGTCTCATGCCATTTGAAACTACCAGTAAACTCCCCTTTAGGTCTTGCCTGATTGGAGATACTTCTTTCAGTTCAAGTTACATAGTATGACCACCCCACCCATTAAAAAAAAACAAATTAACACTTTCCCTCAGCAGGAGTCACAATATAGAGAGAATGTTAAAATACTCAAAGAATAAATCTTGATATTCAAAATGGAAAGGGAGGGGAGGGCAGAGCTCTTCAATGAAGGTTCTGCTATCATCACCTCCCACTCCATCTTGGTGAAATGCTCCCTGAGTGAGACATTTTCTCAGAAACTGCCCAAAGAAAGCACTAAACAAAGAACACATTTCTAGGAACTAGCATTAAATCATTTGTGATATCTTTACTGTATGTGAAAATTTTGTTAAGGAACATAAAATAAAAACAAATAAAAGAGTTAAGTGTGAAATAAGAATGAACACTGTTTGAGTGTAGAAGCAGATATAAAAAGGATAGATGATTTAAGCAACAGAAGCAGGCAGAGTCATTTACATCAGTGTGTGTGTGTGTGTGTGTGTGACTGGCTATGAGAGATTCAGAAGCAGTAAACTTGTATAATAGATAACACAAGTTTATTTTTGTAATAATAAACAGAAGACATACAAGAAAATGTGCTTTTAATAATTTTTTAATCAAATTACTTTAATGTCTATTGTTTGTTACAGAATTGTACAAAATTCTTGGTGTTGTACAGATAAATTACATTTCTGTATTCTTGTTCTTACTTTACCAAAAAAATTCTTGATACATAAAACTGTAAGTATTGTTACGACAGCGGAAGTCCCGCAATGCTGGAAGGATCATGAATTTTCCTGAGAACTCTAGTTTGTTCGAGGCACCCTCTTTTTTAGTATATAAGCCTGGTGAGAAAAACCAGTGTGATTGCATAGACAGATAGATTGCAGAGATATGCAGATAGATTGAAAAGATAGATAATTGAGTCAA